CGACCTGGAATTCGTAGTTACCATCTCCGACTACATCATTCCACCCTCCCAAGTACGGCATGATGATGTTAGGTATCCTGTCCTTGTACGGAAACTGATCAATATCGTTTCTTCCTATTCACCATAATTAAACACAATTAACAAGGCAGAAGTAACCTAAAAAACAATGTGCAATGTAAATTAAAGTAAGCAACCGTACCAGTTCTCAAGGGCATATTCACAGACGATGAAGAATGACTACGACTAGATGACGATGTCCGACCACGACCACGACCAAGACCACGAATGTACTCAAACGCACTCTTGTTCCGCCGTTGGCGACCTCGAGGACGGTCAACTCCTTCGGGTTCCTCATAATCTAAGCTAGACGTGTTGAACATGTCATGAAGTACATGAGTAGCGTCACGAATAATAGAAGGATGACTGGAGGACACTCGGTCATACATCGAACGAAACTGCTCCAACTCCTCCTGTTCATGGTCGACCGTTTGAGTATCTGCATGCTCACCAATAACGAGCGTCCGCCAGAATGAATGAACCTGATCAACATGTAACGACGCCCTTTCTTCTGTAATAACGCGATGAATGGTGCATGCGCAAGGTAATCCATGAGTTACTGAAATAGCACACCCGCACCGAGCATACACTTCATCAGCCAAGTCCCTCATCCTGTTGAGCTCAGTCAGAATCAACCCCAAGCAGTAGTGTGACACACGACCATGGAGAATCTTAAATATGAAATGGCTATACATCGTACCTTGTCGTCGTGTGGAGTCCTCTAGAGAGTTCCTGATGCCGTTCTTTTGAGTTTCAATTGACTTGTTTAGTTTATCGAACAGTGTATCCAAAGCAGCGGTGGAAGAATCAATCTAGTCCTTGGTAGCTCTATGAGCGCTCTCAACTCTACATGTTGTAGTGTTCCCGAAATGAAGTACTTGGTTTGTCCAATATTTGACAAACTTTTCCTTGTGCGGGACCCATTGCTGCATCACATAGTCCACCAGTGCCGGACACCACTGGTACGAATCCCTGAAGTTAGCCAATTCTCGCTCGTACACTGCGACTGTGGTAGCTTGTAGGATCTTCCGCCACTTACCATTCACCAATCTCTCTGCCATTTCCAAATTCTTGTTGAAAAGGTTGTAGGCTTTCACTTTCACGCAGTTGTTGATGTGCCATGTGCACAACAAGTGCTTCGACTCTAGAAACAACTCCCTAATGGGGGCAAAGAGACCTCCCTCACAGTCACTGATGATGGCTGCTGGATAAACATTAGGCCCGATGTAGTTTCTCAACTTCTCCAAGACCTAATAATAACTTGGAGTCGTCTCATCCTTGATGATTGCATGACCAATCAGAAAGTTCTGGTTTGTTGGAGTCATCCCCATGATCTCAACCAGTGGGAACTTGTACTTGTTTGTCTTGTACGTTGAGTCGATCAAAATCACAAATGGCCAAGACTAGATCATATCAGCACAATCAGGATGCAAAAGGAAAAGATGAGTCACCTCCGTTATATCTTCATCAGAATCATACCAGAACAGGTAACCACGTGATTGTGCCTGGTGTAGCAGTTGCTGTATAGGGTTCCTTCCCTCTGACCGTTCAAACCTGAGTTGCTGTCTGACGTTGTAGATGTGTCTTCGGTTTGGATGGTCTTCTGGAAATTTCTCTAACACAGATGCTAATATTTTAGCAGGCTTGACTTGAGCATCACTCATTTCTTTCACAACTAGTTTCGCAGCAGGACTTAAGTCGTTCAGCTGTCGATGATCCTCTTCATATACTATCATCTCACGGTTATGATACCCCCATTTAGAGTAACCAATCACTTCCCAACCGTCACGACTCCGTAGTTGTCGAACCTTTACTCTGAACTCACACCCACAAACTTTCCGCTTTGTATCAAACCGAGTGGCTGTACGGAAATCTCTTTCTTCTATTTTGCGATAATGGTCGCATCTCAAAATACGATCCATTCTACCATCCCGTTGAGATTTATGAGTTACTACTACCAAGAAAAATTCAGCTGTAATTGCAACCTGTTTTGCCCAATCAATCGCTTGTTGAGCATCTTCGAATGGACCATCATGTCCAAATATCCCACTGTAATCATTTCCGTCTCCACCATAATCCTGCATCAATTATATATTATAATAAATATTAATTCAAGCTTAAATTAATACATTTAACACAACATTAACACATAATTAATATCTACATTTTTAATTTGTAAATTTCATTTCTACATTTAACGGATAAAACATTTAATTTCTATATTTACACAGAATTAACACAAAATTAAAAACATAATTATGTATAATATTATTCATACACATACAAATTTAAAATACAATCATTTATAAAAGTATTCATACACATAAACAATTAAAGCATAATAATATACATTAACACAAATCTAATCACATCATAAAAAAAACATTAAATTATTAAACTTAATTTAAAAAAAACCGTTTTGAATTTTCAATTTTAAATAAAAAAAAAAAACCATTTCCAATTTTTTTTTAATACAATTTCGAATTTTTAAACTTAATTTAAAAAAAAAAAAACCATTTTGAATTTTCAAACTTAACTTTTAAATAAAAAAAACCATTTCGAATTTTCAAACTTAATTTTAAAAAAAACCATTTCGAATTTTCAAACTTAATTTTAAAAAAAGCCATTTCGAATTTTCAAACTTAATTTTAAAAAAAAAACCATTTTAAATTTTTAAATTTAAAACAATTTCGAATTTTTTTTTATTACAATTTCGATTTATCAAATTTAAAAAAAAATAAAAATAAAACAACAACAAAATTAAATAATAATAATAATAATAATAATTATAATAATAATAATAATAATAATAATAAACAGCAGGGGCAGCGTCTGGCAGAAACGCCACAACCACGGACTTGGCGCCTGGCAGGGCCGCTACATCCACTGGACTGGCGCCTGGCCAGGACGCCTGTCTGCTGGTTATGGCGTCTGGGCTGGACGCCGGTGCGGTGGTTGTGGTGTCTGTCTTGGACGTCCATGCTACGGTACTGGCGTCCAACCTAGGCGCCGGCGCCACTGCACGACCACCTCTTTCAGACGCCGTTACGTACACCGTGAATTTTAACGGTGCTTTACCTCATTTTCCGTCGACGACGACGTACCTCCGGCGTCCCCCGCATCTCCGGCCTGCCCTCCGGTCTCCCCCGGCGAGCCAGTACGGCTCCACATTTTTTAAATCAAGATTTGTTCAGTTTTAGAAAATGGCAAAATTGTCATACCAAGTCTAATTTGTGGGCTTTATATGGAAATTTGCGGGCGATGTTTAACATCCCAATAAAAAAGATAGATCCCAAAAGGTGAAAAACTTAAAAACTTAGACCCCAATTTTATACTTAACTTTTAAAGTTGTGATTTAAGGTTAAATCGAAATACCTCTCCAAACATGACAAATTATCGTTAGCCACTAGTGCACAGAAAATTTTAACCAGCTATGTTTCAACAAAGGCAAAGATAATATAATATTATATGATAAAACAACACGTACCCATACTCTTATCACCATTATTAATTGGAAAAAAAACCATAGCAACTATGGAATATGGAGTACAGTACAAAATAACATTAGGAATTCTGAATTCTTATCACTAGCTGTGGATAAGAAACTTAAAGAAAAAAGGACGAGGGAGCCCAAGTTAATCTCTGAGATTAATATTTCACTTTATCTCCTCTCACAACTTTATACGTTAATTTTTGTGTCATTTTATTATTTCACTTTTATTATTTAAAAAATAAAAGAAAAATAATTGGCTATTTCACCAAATGCCACTGAACAATTGCAAAATTCACCAAATGCCATGAACGTTTTCAAAATTCACCAAATGCCACTAACAATGTGCACATTGACACCCCGTGCCATTAATGAGGTCTGGACATTAGTTGGCCGTTACCGCAAATCTTATTTCATGAAATGCCATTGAGGAGTTTATATATTTCACCAAATACCATTACTTTTGCAAATCTTATTTACATGTAAACATACTCAGCGTAACGGCTAGTTTGTTTGACCTTTTTTAAATTTTTTTTGGGCAAATCTAGCTATTGCACCCAATTTGTTATATAAACAGTACACTAAAATGCACATAGCAGATCTTTTTGCATAACCATGAGCTTCATATCAAACACATCCTCCTCAAAACATGAGTATGCATATGTCAATAAATTTTGCAATTGTGGTAGAAAATATGCAATTAGAAGCTCGGAGTCAACATCTAATCCACAAAGGTTGTATTATAAGTGTGATTCATGTGATAGCTTCAAATGGTGCAAGGTTCAGATGCATGAAGAAGGTCAGAGCAGAGGAAGTCAGAGCAGGGGAAGCTGTTATGCAAGGGATGGCTCGGGACAAAGCAATGTGCATGAAGAATTGAAACAATTGAAGAAGAAAATCAAGCAACAGCAAAAAGTGCTCGATTGTATTATGAAATTAGGGGTAGTGATGTGTGTAATATTGGTGATAGTAATGATGAAGTGAACTATCGTAATTGCAATGAAATTTAATAAAGAGAGAAATTAAATCATGTGCCTAAAATATTGCTTCTTGTTCAAATCATGTGCCCAAAAGATTGCTTCCTGTTTAAATTACAAGGCTATGTCAAAAGAAACTAGACAACACAGCACACACTAGTACACTACACTGTTAATGTTCAAAAATTACATGGATAAACTGGATGTGCATTAAAAACATGAGTGGATGTGCATTCATGTTGCTCTCTTTGTTTTCTTCTTGGGTTGAGAGGAGGTGGTTGATGTGCTTGCTTAAGTTGCAGCGCTTTTTTTCCTTGATGCACAAGTCAACATGTTGTGCCCCAACTCATTGCATAAGCTGCACTTAACTGTAAAATGCCTCTTCCCTTTCCTTGCTTCATTTGGCCCTCTTCTTCTTTGCTTTTTTGGTCGCCCTGCAACTCTTTTCACCAATGGTGGTAGTATGTTAGGCAGGTTCAGTGATGGCCATTGAGTTGGGTAGGCATTGGGTGCATATGCTCTGCATAAGTTAGCTTGTATGCCTTCCCTTTGAAACAAGGGGCTACAAAGTCTGCAGGTTGCAGCCTCTGGTGGTAAATCACCCTTAGTACATGTTTGCATGGGAGTCCTGAATGTTGCCACTTCCCACAACCACAACTGCCAGTGTTCAGCTTGATGGGAAAATGCACATGTTGGTCTCTCACCTCAAACTCATCACCACCACATGTAGTTGCATAGCAAAACCTAGACTCATCTGATCTTGTTTGCAGAATCTTGGCTGCATATTCAGTCAGCTCCATATCCCCCATGCTTAGGGCTTTGTCAAACCTTGAGACAATCCTCTTCATGCCCCATTGCCTTATAGCTTCAAAACAGTATGCAAAGACATTATGAAAACAAGAAACAGGGGACTTGTCTTAATGCAAGTTGTTATAGAGTGGAAGTGAATACCTTCAAGTATTTTCACAACAGGTAGATCTCTGTAGAGCTTGGTGCATGAGTTGAAAGACTCCGCGAAATTTGTTGTGTTATGATCACAACAGAGTGCAAGATCAAACTTATGCCTTGACCAGATCTCACTGCAGCTCTCTAAGTATTCAACAACCTTAGGATTGTACTCTTGAAACTTTTGCATTGCTTTATTGAATACATACTCATTATATGCATCAGCTGCTATCCAGAAAAGCTTATGAAAGGCTGAACCACTGAATCTATTGGCCTTGCAGTTCATGTACAAGTGTTGGCAACACACTCTTCTAGTTGGTCTGGGGAATGCTTCATAAATTGATGTGTCAACACCCTGCAAAGAGAATAGTTTAATGGCTGAGAGTTGAACATAAGAAAAAAAACAGTAAATCACATGTAATAAACTAGTTTCCAGGTGGCTTACCTTCATTCTGTCATAGATGAAGGTCCAATCATATTTCTTGCACCCTTCCTTCTCAAAAAGGCATTTCAACTTCCTCAGAAAATATCCCCAGCTGTCAATACTCTTAGAACCAACCACTCCTTAGGCAATGAGAAAAATCTCATTGTTCCCATCAATCCCAACTGTAGTTAACAATATTCCCTTGAAATGTCCACTTAGGTGGGCTCCATTAATGCCAGTGAAAGGTCTACAGCCTCTCAAGAATCCCCTAACTTGGGCAGCAAAAGAAAAAAAACAAGCCTTGAATCTTGGAGGCTCAGTTGCAGTAGGTTCACCCCATGTCACAAGAGCATAACTACCTGGGTTAGTCTCTTTCATCATTTTAGCATACCTAGGCAACAGTGAGTATGCCTCTCTAAAATGCCCATGGATGATCTCCTTGGACATTGCCCTGACCTTGTACAACAACCTTTTCTTAACTTGAAGCCTAAACCTTTCCATACAGATTCTCTGTAAAGACTTAATTGGAATGTCAGGATTGGCTTCAATGTCTGACTGCAGATGTCTACACAGCCACTCAGAACTTACTATTGGGTTTCTTTCCAACCTCCCACAACTTCTATGCTCCCCTGTCATAATCTTGATTGCACAGCTAACCTTGTCCACCATTGTGGAGGCATGAATCCTTCAGTTGCAATTCTCTACAGCACACCTTGCTATCAATCTTGTTTTGTTACTCTTTTCAACATAAACACCAAACACTTCCTGTACACAATAGTCCTTGAACACATCAAGAAATGATTGTTTGTCTCCAAATATCAACCATGGCTCTAATGTGATGGATCCAAACTCTTAATAGCTCCAAATTTTACCATTCTTATAGGTTTTATCCATGGTTGAACTGCCATCAAGGTAACCATGAAATTGCTTGTTAGGAATGTCATCATGAAGGCAATCTATTTCTGTCTCATCCTCTATGAAGTCACCAATATCTGCCTCATCATCTTCTTCTTCACTACCAGATTGTATGTAATCATCATCTTCACTATCACCATCACTACTAGACTCATCAGACCTCTCCTCACTTACATGAACATTTTTTGCTATGTTCCTTTTTTATCTCCTTAAAGTAACACTTTCCCCCTCAGCATTACCCTTTTTGAAGCACTCTTTTTTGACCTAAATCACTCAGGTCTTGATCTACCTCCCTTTTTTGCTGCTGCAGATGATGGAGGTTGGGGTTGAGATAAAACTGGTGTTGTCTGTGGTTCAGGAGAAACTGGTGGTGAGACTGTTGTTGGTTCAGCAGAAGGTTTGGATTTTTGTGGTTGAGGGGAAGGTTGGGATGTTTGTGGACAGGGATTAGTATGGGATGTTTGTGGTTGAGGGGAAGGTTGGGATGTTTGTGGTTAAGGAGAAGGTTGGGATCTTTGAGTTGGCCTTTTTTTTGGTGTTCTTTTCCTTTTCCTAGGAGTCATTTTCTTCCTAGAACATGTGGTTTTGGGCTGGTTAATAGGAGAAGTTGGTTGAGAGTGTTTAGGTGGGTTGAGGGCTGAGTACTTTATTCAGGCTCAGGCTGAGATGCCCCAGGGAAAACCTCATCAGCTACTGGAGTGTCAAACACTCTTACATACTCAACATTTGAGTCATCAGCATTAACAATAGGAACCTCAATTGCAACTTCAAAACGTCGTTGTTCCATAAGCTCCTTCTCAGCATCCTCTTCTTCAGCCATCCTCTGGGCCTTTTCTTGATCCATTCTCTCCTTCTCAACCATTACCTTAACCTTTTTTTCCCAACTTGCTGCAGCATCCTTAAACACCAAACTAGGACTATCCTTTTCCTCTAAGAACACTTCTATTGTTTCCCTACCCTCATACCACTCCCACATTTTCAGCATTTGACTATCCCCACATAACTCAAACTTTCTATTAGTTCTAGGTGGCAGTACAGACAAACTAAAGTATTTAGGGAGGATCAAATTTTGCTTGACAGAATCCTCAAACATGAACTCATACAAGTCCATTAGACTAGTTCTGTCAGTATCCTCAATCATCACATCAAAGCCTTGATCTTTGTAATGGACATCAAGCCACACTGTACTCATCCTATGAACAACAAATGACATATTACTTTACTGAACATCAACACACATCATTCATATCAACAAACACATACCAAGCCAAATATCCTAATCAACTCGCAAAATTTCATTTCTAAGACTCAAATACTGTGAAAAACACAAACCTAACATACCAATACACACATTGCCAGATTCATACCCACAAATGAGGTTTTGAACATGATTTTTAACAATAATTCACAAAGGTCACTTCAAATAAACACATTACACTGATCATTTGAGAAAACCCTAACCTTAACTCAATTTTCGCAAAAACAAACCAGAACCAATACGCGAAATGAAGATCGATAGAGAGATTATTACCTTGCGTGCTATCTCCAAGGCCTCCAAAAAAATTTCAGCATTCGCAATTTCCTTCTACTTCTTCCACTACTTGTGACCGCTTTTTGGTTCCCCCAGAATCAACAACAGCTAAAGCTTGAATCTTGTTGCGAGGGACGTTCAGTGGTTACAGTACGCTTCTTCCTTGTTCATATATTTGAAGGTTTGAATGATGGTGAAACCTCGAAGAACAGGGGAGAGGTTAAGGAAGAACAAGGTTGATGAAGAACATTAATACTTGAAAATTGAGGAATCAGAGAGTCAGTGAGCTTTATGGCGCCATTAAACACATTAAAGGGCAAATTGGTATTTTCGCAGTAACGTTCAACTAACGTCCAGACCTCATTAATGGCACGGGGTGTCAATGTGCTATTTGTCAGTGGCATTTGGTGAATTTTGAAAACGTTTATGGCATTTGGTAAATTTTGCAATTACTTAGTGGCATTTGATAAAATAGCCGAAAAATAATATATTGTGAGAGGAGATATATCTACGGATTTATATCTCAGATAAAATTAAATTTTCGCACTAGTTATAGAAATTTTTCATTATTTATTTATACTAATTTATAACCTCAACAAAAGTGCCCCAAAGACTTGAATAACTCGCCCATATAAATTGGATCTAATTCAAGTATATCCACCAAATACGACGTACTGTGTGTCTCATTTGAGTGGAATTTGGATTTTCCAAACTCAACTTTATATCTTTCACCGGCAGCATCGACGAAGGGACGGCGGCAGCCACCCACTGAGACGAATCTGGCCACAAGAGAGCCAAGGCTGTCCAGATTAATTCCGGCGGGAACTCCTTCACGGCGGCGGCTACGAGGCGGCGCAAGTTTCCGGCGAGAGAAGACTCCCATGTCTCACCAAAACGTCCATACCCGGTGTCGACGGCGACGAAGGTGCGATTCTAGATTTTATTTTAACTTTTGAATCACCCAACAAAATACAGTAGCCAGTTGTTGATAATCTTGTAATTGGCAGCTAGCAAGTCACTATCACTAGAGCTTGGAAGATACTGAAAATGTGCTTAAGTAGGAGAGTGCATAAACTGACGTAAGAGTATGAACAGTGAATGCAATATCTGGTCTACTAATAGTGAGGTAGATAAGCTTCCCTATGAGCCTTTGATACACATGTGGATGCTCTAAGAGAGTTCTTGTTGAGTGAGTGAGCTTTACATGGCTGTCCATTGGAAGTCTGAGAGGCTTGTAGTTGTTGGCATTGTTAGTATATCTTTGATATAATTACTTTTAACACAAAAATATTCTCTAATCAGTTCTATCGACCTCTATTCTAATAAAGTATTTTAACTCTCCCATATCCTTCATATGAAATTGAGTATTTAAATACTCTATTGTCTGAGTGATTAATTACAGACTACTTCCAGTAATTATCATATCATCAACATACACTAAGATTGCTACAAACCCTTCCTTTTTGTATTGAGTGAAGAGAGTGTAATTTGTCTTTGACTATATGTCATAACATCATTGCTTATCAGTATAGCACTAAGCTTTACATGCCACTGTCTAGAGGCCTGTTTCAGACCATAGAGAGATTTGTTAAGTCTACAAGCTCTATGATTAATTTCAATTATAATCAGCTCCAAATCTGAACCCGTTGCCAAAATACCAAGGTGGCATCTTCATATATACAGTTTTTGCCAAATCTCCATAGAGAAAGGCATTTTTCACATCCATTTGATGAACATGCCACCCTTGAATAGCAGCAATGGCCAATAATGACCTTACAGTGGTCATTTTTGCAATTGGTGCAAATGTTTCTTTGTAATCAACACCATGTTTTGGATTGTTTCCTAAGACGACAAGTCTTAACTTGTGTCTTTCTATTTTCTCAGATTTTGTGTTATACTTGGTTTTATATAACCACTTGCAACCAATAGCATGCTTACCCTTAAGTAGAGTAGTTATCTCCCAAGTGTTATTTTCCTCCAAAGCATCCAAACTACTCATTGCTTGCTTCGGTGTGAGTATTTAATTGCATCTTTAAATTCACAGGGTCATTACAGAAAAACTTTAAAGTAATAGGTGTAAGAGTAACTTGTTTCAATGCTTCTGTATAAGTCATATTCTTCATCTTGTAATCTTTATGCCATACAGGAGCTCTATGGTTGCTCTTTAGGTATAGGTTCTGTGTTTGGCTTCTTGGCTCATGCTCAGTTCTGGCTCATTTTGTGTGGTGCTAGTGTTTGGTTCAAGGTTCTCTCTAGTAGTGTGAGTGTGAACATCATAATCATCAATCCATGGTGTCTGGTGAGACTCTTCACTTTCAGATGTTTTTTCTTTACGAATAGTAGTGTATAGAAGATGGTAGGGATAAACATTCTCATGGAATCTCACATCCCTGGAGACAAACGTCTTCTCATTCATCAATTTCATAAGCTTGTATCCTTTCTGATTATGAGGATAACTCAGGATTAGACATGGCACTCATCTTGCCTCAAATTTATCATTTTTTTTCACAGGATTTGATGCCATAGCAAGACGTCGAAAAACACTCATTTGATTACAGTGAGGCTTCCTTTCATATATACT